ACCAAGAAAATTTCATTTTTTCTGAAATGCAATATTAAAATGTTTCATGTATTTGATTGCAAGCGTCACTGAACATTTATATCAGATCATTTTCAGATGTGCAGTAATGCGTCACAATGGGTTTAGCTCATAAATTTGTGAAATGATGAGAAATTCTTTCGATTTGCTAAGGTTTTCCGCCGAGAAAATTATTTCGAACATTAGTGATCCAAACTATAAGTGTGCAAAATTTGAAAACTGTAGGAGGAGTTAAGGACAAAGAATGAAAAAAAGGTAATTAACAATGATGAGTCCCTCATTGGATAGATCATAATTGGTATTACTAATTACCCCAAAAACACGCTAATCCTTTTGTGATCTATCCTCGATTTGTATAAATATGCTGTATCTTTCAGTGGTAGTTTATTCGTTTTGCTTTTTTCAATCGTTCAACATAATATTGAAGAGAACAAAAATTAAAATTTACTAAAAACATTACCATTACTTAAAAAAATCAACTCTTTCGAATAGATCATCGCATCAAACTCTCTCAAAAAAAAAAATAACTATATTTTCAAATGGCAACTCATAAGATAATAACAATGGAAGGCACCATAGTTGATGTGCCACTTGGTCGTGGAGGAAAACCCAAACGGGTTCGCACTCAATTTACTCCAGAGCAAATTCGCCATCTCGAGGCGAATTTTCAATCAAATAACTATCCACCAAAACCAAAGCGAGAGGAATTGGCGGAGATGCTGGATTTAACTGTGCGGAATGTTGTTGTGTGGTTTAATAACCGCCGAATGCTTAAGAAGAAACAACAGATGTCTACAGTGAGTGAAACTCAACCAGTTCAACAATCACCAACATCCGTGAATACGATGAATAGCCGTGAGTTTCATGAATATATGCCTAGATTTGAGCATTCAGCTCACGCAAGTATGTATCCGGATATTTTTAAAAATTTGACGCCTGACGAATGGAATGCTATACTGAGCGCCGATGGATATGATCTTGATATGAAAATATGGTAACAATGAAAATATTGGGCATACAGCTGTACGGAATGCTTGAGAATAATAATGAAATATATATGGCAAACTATATACAAACTTGGGACACTTTTATTGGAAATATTCCGAAGGGACACTTCAGTTTGAACAAAAATTAAGTTTCATTATTATTCTCAACCATTCTACGGAAAATAGGGTTAGTTGGGGATCTCGTTCAATCCATGCAAAGTCTGTTTAAATATTTACTTTATTCAGCCAGTAAGTTCTTTGTTAAATACAAGCCTATTTTTTCTAGAAAATTAATAAATACATTCAAATAAAAATAAAAAACAAAAAGCGTTCTAAATATTTTTAAACCAAATTGCTCATAAAGGGTGTTTTTTTACTGATAGAACTTTGAATTGAAATAAATCACAAACCAGTTTTAATTTAATCATGAAATCGTATTTATTTGGTTGATTTGATAATGGCAATTATGTTTTAAAAATAATTTTGGGTAATGGTCCCCACAACTACGTTTTACACAGTTTCAGCCAGTAATTTAACCAAAAGTGGACTTCGTCGAAAAAGATGATTTTTCGGTAATATTTCCGTATCATTTTGGAGCTTCTGCAGGGCCCAACCGACGAATGTGCGGCGCCTTGGATGGTTATGCCACTTCAGTTCATGTGCCAACTGGACTTTATAAGGCTTCAGACCAAGATATTTTTGCAAAATTCCGCACAAAGATGAACTTGTTTTGCACGGCGTCGAATTGATAAAGTCGAATTCATGATTAAATTAAAACTTGTTTTATGATTTATTTCAATTCAAAGTTCAATCAGTCAAAGAAAAACACCCTTTATATATATAAAGATGAATCTATTTAAACAACAAAAGATCATTAAACGGTAACAATCAAGAGAAATTGTTTTACATATTGCATTTCACGTCATAAAAAACTAGATAGTTTCACTAATGACACTGACCTGAACACATTAAGTGCAATTTCGCCGAAAATACTAATTAGTTTATCATCCATAAAACATCATCACTGTCAAAAAAGGGACAACATAATAATAATGAATATTGCAATCGTACGATGTGCCATTTATGAAAAATAAGGTAATAAATTTAGTCAAAAAAATAATCCTAATGAAAAATAAAAATGTATAATAGTAATAAAAATCAGTTCAGGCTGCTATAAAAATCACTTCTATTGTTGTTGCTACATTTCGGCGCCTGACGTCAGTTGCTTGAGCTGATTCATCTGTCTGAGAATATTTCAATATAATGCCTGATATAATTACTCTATGTATGGCATTGTGCTTACGAACAACATTCAATTGACACACAACAGCACAATAAAAATTTTCAACACAAAACTCAAAGCGATGAAAAACAATTTTGTTCACTTTTATTGAACGCGCTGATACAAACCATTTGTATAATTGTTTTTTTCACTTTTTGTGCGTTCTATACCGAGCCTCCGAGAGTGCGAAATATTTATACCGTTAAACTGCGTCGCATATCGAAGCGAAACAAAATTCTGTTACTAAAACATGGCAGAACAGTAGCTAGTTGTCAGCACAAAACGAAACTTACATATTTTGAATAATAAAAAGTCAATATTTTAAGTCTCCTTTCGATATGTCACTAAACAATAAGTTGTTTTTATTCTAGAGCGTTCAATTAGACATGATTGCAATTCTTTGAGGGAGATTTGATCGGCAAAGATTGGTGAAAATTTGCGAAATTTAAAATAATTTGTGTTAGTCATGACAGTGTCTACCCCCAGGTGGGAACTTATATCATTTGTTTTTACATTTAACTTTTCTGTTTTCGTTACAAAATGAATGAGTCATAATCCAAGAAATATATCGATATTCATGACCAACATGTGGTTTGAAGAATTCTTTCGATACGCTACGGATTTGGCGAAAAAAGTAAGAACATTTTCTTGTATAAGATTGTATTATATAAATTTTAAAACTTTACTCTAGTATACAAAACGTCATTTGTATAGTTCAATACATTCTCCGCGCGAAAGAAGGCAAATGAATACTTGAAGTATGGCTATTTGTACGTCCAATTTATCGATATTTCAATGCTACATTAAAAATAACTGCAAGGCAATTGATTAACCTTCAACAGCTAGGATACGTGATATCAAACATAAAAAATATTGTTTCTTTACTTGATTTGAAGCCAAATTCATACAACATAGGCGATGATAAGGAGACACCTCACACTTACAAGTTTCCTTTACTATCGATAAATTGAGTCGGCGTAATTTTAATACAAATGCATTATCCATAAAATGCACTTGGAAACCATGTGTATGCTGCTGCTTGCATTAACATGCGCCATGTAATAGAGTCTTGTTTAATTATTCAGTGAAAATAATGGAAAGACGTATTTTTTCTAATCTGCGACACGTAGCCAAGACATTCAGTAAACTGAAAACCATTGAATAAGTAGCCACGTTATTTAAGTTCAAGACATTCATTTAAAACAAAGTTTTAAAAAATGGAAATTTTTGGAGAGTTAAAGTTGGGTTTAGAGTGGCTCGGGATTTTTCACCGTGATTCCGGTCAAAACTCAAATAAATTGTCAATCGTTCGAAATTTTGGTTTCTTTTGCATTTATATATCATTTCCGGCATCAACCGCCTGGTTTCTTTTTTCTTCGGAAAAAACATCTGCACATTTTACAGAAGCGCTTATAATGTTTACGGGTTCGTTAATGGTTCTCGCATTGTATTTTAATTTATTTTGGCACAAACAAAAGTATGAAGCATTATTGATGAAACTTAACGCAATCGTTGAAAAAAGTAAGTGTATAATATTCCTTCAGTACGTAGTTAACAATACACAGACAAAAACAAAACGTTAAGGATATTTATGATTTTATGTGAAAAGATGAAAAATGCAAATTGAGATTTTTGTGGATTTTCACTTCAAAGACTCAAATTATGGAATTAGATAGCCTGCATCCACAAAAATTTCAAATTATGGCATTCGCCAAACAAATCACAGAGAGAAACAAAATCCGACAAGCCTAGATGTTGGTCATGAATATCGATATATTTCTTGGATTATGACTCATTTGTTTTGTAACTAAAACAGAAAAATTAAATGTAAAAACAAATGATGCCACCTGGGGGTAGACACTGTCATGACTACCACAAATCATTTTAAATTTCGCAAATTTTTACCAATCTTTTCCAATCTTTTTCTGATCAAATCTCTCTCAATGAATTGCAATCATGTCTAATTCTACCAATCTTCACCAATCTTGATCAATTTTTATCAATCTTTATTCATATTTTCATAAATAAATCTTTTCCAGTCACAAATCTTGTGTCCCCCCTTTCCCTAGGGGCTTTCATCATTCGTTCATACAAATTTATACACAATATTCACGTCCTATTCATCATATATACGATTAAAATTTCTCGCCTATACCAGTGAATAAGATGTATTTCAAACTTCAGTGTACACACACACACAGTATTGCTACACAAAATCGAAGAAGATCCGCACAAAAGAGAACAAAAAAACATGCCATAGACGAAATATATACGAAATATACACGAAATATACACCAAATATATGCAGTTATGCACATTTATTTGCGCGTATTACAGATGATTTTGCAATATAGTTCACTATTTAGAGTTTAAATCGTATACATTTGAAGATAAAAGCCCCTAGCCCTTTCCACTGTAACGCAATACTGCACACCTGAAAATGATTGATA